TATATCCCCCTTTTTTGTTCAGTTTTGTCAGAGATGGGTATTCCATTGCCATTCAAATTTTCTGTTCAAGGAGATTATGGGGTCACAGAGGAAAGTGATTGATGATGTAGAGTGTGCCTAAGGAGAGTCACCTAGAGAGAAAACATTCTCTTAGGCTTTCACAGAGAGCAAATTGGTCAAGCAGTGGCTGTGACTCATCCAGATGGCTGACACTGACAAAGGATCTACAAAGTTCTGTTCAGGGTTTCAGGATAAATCCTGAGGGGATTTGACTGACCTTGTCAGATACAAAAGTTACAGTTTTTGTTATATAGCTCTTGCTTTCTCTTGGTCTTAACCATCCAGCAGAAAAGTATAACCATGAAGTATAAAAAGTAAAGACATATTAATATGCTGAGCTGTAAAATGCTCAAGTCAGCAACTTCTGACATTGCCAGTTCTGCAGATGACTCACTACTATTATGGGCAGGGTGCACAGGGTATACAGGGTCTACTGGACTATATTATGAGGCTTTACCTCCTAAAAGTTGTATTTCTTCCTAGTAGTGCCACAAGCTGGGGACGAGGCCTTTGGCATATGGCCCTTTATAGATGCATTTAAAATCTAAACATAACAAAGTACATTAGACTCATTTCTCAAAGCTTTTAATATAATTCTTCCTGAAGGAAGTACGAAGAACTTCTTTCCCTAAAGTGTTTTCTGTTTACACTTTGTCGTTTTTGTTTTTATATATACTTGTATAATCAAGGTTGAAGACCAAAGTGCCAGGCAAATAGCTCAGCAGATTAAAGCACCTGCTTAGGCAGACACAGGAGCCAGGAGTTTGATCCCCTGGGCTGCTGTGCTGGCCCCACCCCCGGAGCACACTGAGATGGCAGCAGTGACCGGGCATAGTGGTGTGCACCAGTAGTCTCAGGGTTTGAAAGGCTGTAAACAGGAAGATCACTACGAGTCTGATCTATGCAGTGAGACCCTGTATACCCTGTGTACCCTGTCCTTTAAAAAATAAAAATAAAAGATTGAAGATAAAGATAGTTCTCTCGTTTTTTTTAATTTTAGTAAGTGTCTACAGGGTCTCTCTACATAGATCTGACTTGTAGTGATCCGCCTGTGTCTAGCCTCCCAAGAGCTGGGAGTACAGGTGTGCATCACCATGCCCAGTCTCCATCTGTATCTCAGTGGGCCCAGGCGACGGGGTGGGGCTGGCACTGCAGGCATAGTACACCAGGGATTGAATCCCGGCCAGCCGCTGTGTCTACCTAAGCAGACACTTTAATCCTCTGCGCTATTTGGCTGGTCCTGAAGACCAAGATAGTAAACTTTATATATACATATGGCTTGTTCAATATACATTTGTTGTTTTTTGCTATCATAATAATCTTGGGGCTGGGTAGATGGCTCAGTAGAATAAGCGCTTCCCTGGCAAGTGCAAGGGTCTGAGTTCAATCCCCAGTTCGGCCAAGAAAAAAAAATAAAGAATATAATATTCTTTATATAAATCCTTACAAATAGATGTCTTTTATTTCTTGTTCACATTCTTCAAAGCTCTGTGATAGCGTGTTTAGTTTTATGGCTCGAATTGCAAATAGTTGTATTGCTGATTTACAGTATCATGAAGAATACACGATAAAGTGTATAATGTAGTGGCATTTTTCTATCAAATTTTCTTCTTACTTTGGATTTGGATGTAAAATGTTAACTTGTATTTGCTTTTGTGTACATTTTATTAATCATTATATTTAATCTTGGGAATTTATAGCAAGATATTAAATATAAGCAACTATGTTTAGTTTTCAATAATAGGGAGTTTTTCAGCTATTTTAGTAAGCATTTATTTTTATGCAATTCCGTATTATCTTCTTATCAAATTTTTTATCTTAAACTTTAGTCATTTATTTGCATGATGAACTAATAGAACCTAGTGAAGATCCACAGTATGGTGAGAAAAAATAAGGAAGTAATTAACCCTTTAAATATTTTAATTAAAAACAAAAAGTATGACATTATTTGAAAATTAAATTTTAATTTGTATAGTCTAAAGTGAAGTGGAAAGCAAAAAGTATGAAAATTGGGAAAATTACTACAATATAACTAAATGGAAAAATAGTTTACAAACAGTTTTCACTATTACAATCTATTAAATCCTACGTACATTGTGATTATTATTCTTACTGCTACAAAAAATGACTAGTGATTGCCTTGTATTTTATCTTGCCAGATGGTTTATTGTTCTCTGACAGATTTCCAGAAAGCAGTCTATCAAACAGTATTAGAAACAGAAGATGTGACTTTGATTCTTCAGTCTTCTAAGCCTTGTACCTGTAACAGTGGCCGGAAGAGACGAAACTGTTGTTATAAGGCAAGCATTTCAGTTTATCTTTACCATCTTGTGAAATACCATATGATGAAAACAAACATAGCCTTTTCTTTTGGTTATAGACTAATTCACATGGAGAAACAGTGAAGACCTTGTATCTCAGCTACCTTACAGTCCTTCAGAAGGTAGCAAACCACGTTGCACTGCTGCAGGCCACTAGCACCTCCAGACAACAGGTGTGGGTTGACTTTCTGTATTTCTTTGTGAGATTACTTGTATATAACTGATGTGTCTAGTATTAGAGGATGTCCTAGATTTGATCTCCAGCACAGTAAATAAATAAATAAATAAAATTTAGATATTAAGGAATATATAGTTATATTCTTGAACAGAAAACATAAGCTTAATAATTGATATGCCTCTAATAATGATCACATGTTTATTTTCTCTAGTAGTCTTACTTCAGAAAATAGGTATCTAATTTCATTATCTAATCTGGTTAAAAAGAGTTCCTATAATGATCTATATATAAAATATTAGATCTGTTTCCCCAACTGGCAAAAATCATGATTTCAAAGTTTAGAAGTAAATTGTCATTTACTTGGGTAATTCTAATTGTGTCTTATTTAGAGTACAACCTAAATAAAAACATTTTAAAAGCTTTTTATGTAATGATTTTATATTTTTTGTGACATAGTCAATTCTGTTTAAATGATAAAAATTTAATGTTACTTTTTAATAGTAGCCTTTGCTCTTATGGGTATTTGCCCTCTTTATTTTGGAAGTCTTGGAAAAATATTAAGCTAGTAGCCTTATCATTAAGAATTCATTGCAGTCAGTTGTGTTTAATGTATCATTTTAAGATTTTCTGAATTATTAATCTTACATAGAAAAGGCCACATCTTCCAAGTAACATTTTTTTAAAGTGGCTTCAGTTTATACAGGTTTAAATATGTTGAATTGAAATATAGGAAGTAAAGCCATGCTGTTATGTTGAGCTGTGGGGGACTCAGGTCAATAATTTCTGACATTGCCAGTTAAACAGAAGACCCAATGCTATTATGGGCTACTGGACTCTTAGAATATTTTGCTGAGTTTACACACCTATAATATTCAGTAACGGAACTTAGAAAAAATGGGGTATACTGATGAATGTCCATTTTGTATCTGTGTATTCAAAGTGGTTAGAATAGATATATAGATGCATTCTCTTAAGGAATAGAATGATTTGTTCTAATGGTGTTTGTAAATAGGATCTCAAATCCGCATGTTGTATAGCAATTAACCACTAAGAAGAATATATGCAGTGTGTTATTTGTTGAAACTGTACTTCTGATTTGATTTGAAACTGTCTCATTGCTATCTGTTTATCAATAAAATTTTGAAAAAAAAATAAATATGTTGAATTGCAATTTCTTTTCTTTGCCTTTTCCCCCTCAAGGAAACACTTACCAAAAGGATATGTGATCAGGTATTTTCCAGATTCCCAGATTTTGTTCAGAAGAGCAAAGATGCAGCCTTTGAAACACTTTCTGATCCTAAATACAGTGGAAAAATGAAGGCAAGTGCTCTTTTTTTTCAGGGTTCATACAGAGTTATGCTATATTAAAACATTCAGAAGTATGGCTAGGTATGAATTTAGCTGAACAGGTGTCCAGACATTGAGATAAGGTGGTGGCTATGGATAGCTGGTGCTGCTCATGTCAGCACTTAACTAATTCATTCTGAAGCCAGGGTGCGGTTGTATGCACAATCATTTTTCAGTAGCAGTTGTCTCAAGTGTATTCTAAGCTTTCTTTATAAATGTATTGGATTTATGCCCTTTTAAAATATATGTTGTTTTCTCATAAATATTAACTTGTCCTTAAGAAAGATTTAAATGCTAATATTAACCAGTAGGGTGAGGATAAGGCATGAACCTGCAGTTAGAAAAAGGAACTTCTTGTAGAGCTCAAGAGGTCAAAGCCTCCTTTCTATAATGACATTTCTACACCTCCCACCCCACCCTCCGGGCACCAGGAATCGAACTTAGGACCTCATGCTTACCAAGCAAGTGCTTATGCTGCTGAGCTCTATCCCCCACCCCAACCACACATTTTCTACCTCTTGCTTTTCCTTGCTGCGAGGTTATAAATTTGCAAGGGAGCATTCCTTATGCACAGGGAAAATGACCTGCAGTTGTGCTGTTCTTGGTGACTTGTTAGTGAATGAGCAGTCTAAAGATAAGGATAGGTCCTTGAGTGTTGCAGATGACAGCAGCTAGTGAGTTTGCTTAACTCCTTAACAGCTATCTGGAATCTTTATTTATGGTTCATAGATTTTTATGTAACAGTTCTCAACTTTATGTTATAATTAATAAGAAAAAAACATAAGTTATTTCTTTTGGCAAAAGAAATGAAAAGTAGAGTAACTCAAAGTAGTCAGTTTTGTTTTTTCTGGAAATACTTTTAGTATTTATTCTAGATAAACTCATCATATCCTCTAAATTCAATGAAATAAAAGAGGAGGTAGGAATATAAATAGTCAAAAGGACTGGATTAAAATTTTGTATTTTTTGTACTTAAGAGTACATGTTGCTATACATATGAATCAACAAGATACTGGCAAACAGAATACAGCAAATCCATAAAAGAGTACTCATCATGGCCAGGTAGGCATCATCCCAGGAATGCAAGGGTGGCTTAATATAAACAAATCAATAAGTATAATATACCACAAAAATAGAAACAGGACAGAAATCACATGATCACTTCAAGAGATACAGAAAGCCTTTGACAAAAATCCAGTATTCATTCATGATTTTAAAAAAATACAAAAAGACTTTATCTCAATATGATAAAAGCTGTGTGTGACAAATACACTGCCAACATCAAATTAAATAGGGAAACCTGACAGCTTTCCTTCTAGGATCAGTAGTAAGACAAAGATGTTCACTATTACCACTCCTGTTCAGTATAGTACTTGGTACATTAGCCAGAGCAATGAGGTCAAGAAAATCAAAGGAAAGAAATCAAAGGATTGGTATAGGAGAGGAAAAGATCAAATACTTATTTGCAACTGATGTTATCCTTTATATGGAAGACCCCCAAAATTCCATCAAAACACTCCTAGAACAACCAAGTTCAAGAATATAGCAGGATACAAAACTAACATGAACTCACAAAAATTGATAACGTTCCCTTACATGAATAATGAACTCACTGAAAAAGCTATTGAGAATAGAATGCTGCTTATGATAGCAGCAAGAAAAGTGAAATACTTAGGAATTCATCTCACCAAGGAAGGAAAAGACTTCTACAATGAGAGCAGAAGGCATTACAATTTTGTATTTCAAATTGTATCACAAAGCTAAAGTGATAGAAATAGCATGCTGCTGGCACAAAAATGTACATGTAGATCACTGGAACTGAGAATCAAGGATACAGAAACAACCCTAGGCATATTCATCCTTGTGATCTTTGACAGCATAACAAAAAATCTGCACTAGAGGAAAGATAGATAGCCTCTTTAACAAATGGTGCTGTGGACACTAGCCTGAGATTGAATCACAGCTTTCTTTTTTTTATTTTATGTATTTGATACAGGGTTTTACTACACAGCTCAGACTGGTAGTGATCCTCCTGTTTCAGGCCCCCCTAGTGGTGGGATTACAGGCATGTGGGGTGGGGCCAGCATGGCATGTAGTACTGAGGATTGAATCTAGTATGCATTTAGACTGCTGAGCTATTTCTGTGGCCCCACGACCCATGTGTTATGTACCAAAATAAAATAAAAATGTATTCAAGACCTGGACATTAAAATAGAAACACTTTATCAGCTAGAAGGTGAAACAGGTAAAATTCTTAAAGACACAGGCATAAGTAAAGTCTTTTTGAACAGAACACCATTTGTATATGAAATAACATCAAGAATCAACTAATAGAATTATATCAAATTAAAAATCTTCTGCATAGCAAAGGAAATGACCAATAGAGTGAAGACACAAACTACAGAATGGGAAAAACCTGTTGCCACCTCTTCCTTTGATAGAAGACTAATATCTAGAATATATAAAGAACTAAAAAAAAAAGCCCTTCAAAATAAAAGACCCAGTCAAAAAAATGGGCCACTGAAATGAGTAGACACTTCTCAGAAGTACACATGAATACATGAAAAAATGTTCGATATCACTGGCCATGAGAGAAATTAAAACACTGAGATTCCATCTTACTCTAGAAAGAATGGCTATTATTAGAGATTAAATAATAACAAATTTAGTGAGGCTGCAGTGTAAAAGGAAACCTATACCACCTTGAACAGGAGTGGTGATAGTGAACATCCTTGTCTTACTCCTGATTTTAGAGGAAACGCTGTCAGGTTTTCCCTATTCAGTACAATGTTGGCAGTGTGTTTGTCATATGTGGCTTTTATCATATTGAGATAAGGTCCTTCGGTACTTATTTTCACTGGTGTTTTTTCTTTATCATGAATGAATATTGGATTTTGTCAAAGGCTTTTCTGTATCTCCCGAAGTGATCGTATGCTTTTTGTCCTTGTTTCTATTTTCGTGGTGTATTACATTTCTTTCTTTTTTTTTTTTTTTTTTTTTTTTTTGCGGAACCGGGGATTGAACTCAGGCCCCTGAGTGCTCATTCCACTGAGCCATCTCCCCGGCCCCTCCTTTATTGATGTATGTTGAGCCACTCTTGCATCTCTGGGATGAAGCCTACTTGGCCATGATTTATCACATTTATGGATTTGCTGTATTCTGTTTGCTAGTATCTTGTTGATTTTTATGTTTGTTAAATATATTGGTCTGTTGTTTTCATTTTTACTTAAGTCCTTGTTTGGTATTGAAATCAAGGTAATGCTAGCTTCTAGGAAATGAATTTTTTATTATTTTATTTATTTATTTATTTATTTTTGCGGAACCGGGGATTGAACTCAGATCCTTGCGTTTGCCAGTCAAGCGCTTATCCTTCTGAGCCATCTCCCCGGCCCCTAGGAAATGAATTTAGAATTACTTCTTTCCTTTTATTTTATTTTATTTTTTTGTGGTACCTGAGATTGAACTCAGAACCCTGCGCTTGCCAGGCAAGAACTTATTCTACTGAGCTATCTCCCTGGCCCCTACTCCTTCCCTTTTAATCTCATTAAAGAGTTTTAGAAATATTCCAATTGGATCATCCCCGAAGTTCTTACAGAATTCAGCAGTACTTTCCTTGGTCCTAGGTTTTTCTTATTTAGTAGCTAGTAGTTATTTTTTTTTTTTTTTTTAATTACTGTCTCAATTTCATTACCTGTTACTAGATTGCTTGGGATTTTTATATCTCTTTTGTTCAGTTTCAGTAATTCATTAGTATCTTTGAATCTACTTTCCTAGATTCTCTAACTTTTTGGAGTATAGACTTTCAAATAGAGATAGTATTCTGGTTTTCAATGGTGTCTGTTGTGATTTTTGGCTTTTTCATTTCTCATTACATTGATAAGGGTTTTTTCTTTCCTTCTTTTGGTAAGTTTGGCCAAAGCTCTATCTTGTTTATTCTTTTGAAAGGTTGTTCTTTCATTCATTTTTTTTTTTTTAACCTTGCTTTCTTTGTCTCAATTTCATGAATTTCTGCTCCAACCTGTATATGTTTTTCCCTTTTACTAACTTAGGTTTGATTGTTCTTGCTTTTGTAGGAACTTGAGGTACATCATTTGGTTATTTTGTGAAGCTTGCTCTGTTTTTCTAATTTGGGCATTCATAGCAATAAATCTTGCTCTTAGGACTGTTCTCAGTGTGTCCCATAGGTTCTGATATGTTTTACTGGCACTGTCATTTGATTCTAAGAATTATTTCATTTCTTCCTTGTTACACATTGATTATTCAAGGGTATATTACTTAATCTCTATTTGGAAAATTTCTGGGTTTTTTTTTCCCCATTGATTTTTAGTTTATATCTAGTTCAGTGCAGTCTAGTTCATTGCATAGTTCATTGTATGGTCTGATAATATATGTGGGATAATTTTCATTCGATGGATTTATTTAAATAAGATTTATGAGTTAGTATATGGTCTGTTTTGGAGGATGCTTTATGTGCTGTTGAGAAGAATGTATATTCTGTTGTTCTAGGATGGAACACTGTAGATACCTGTTATCTGTAGATATCTATTATTTGTTTGAAGTTTTGGTTCAACCTTAATAGTTTTTTGGGGGTTATTTTAGTTCAGAGTGGGTTATTGAGCCTCCCACTATGATTGTGTTGATGTTTATGTCTAGTAGTGTTTGTTTTATATGAAGTTAGGTATGCCAGTATTTACTGCATATGTACAGTTGGTACCTCTTCCCCTTCAACTGTTCCCTCAACCAGTATAGTGAAGTTTCTTGCCCCTCTGAATAGTTTTGTCCACTTTATCTGAAAGTAGGATAGCTACTTGGATTAAATGTGTCTTGTATGCAACGTTCTGTTCTTCTTGTTTTTGTTTTATCCAGTCTGCCAATCTGTGCCTTCTGATTGTGGAATTGAGACAGTTTGAATTATTACTGAAGGTATTGACTTATTTCTGTGAATCACTGGATTTTTTTTTTTCTTTCTGTTG